CCATCTGTACCAAGGCAATAATTGATCCTGAAATAGACAAATTGATCGTTCAAACATTGTGTAAACGAATTTCATCTCAATAGGATTATATACGTATCTATCATCCTTTTTTTTCTTTGTTTATATAAAGATATCCGTAAGATTTATTATTTTGCGATATCGTTGATACAAATATATAGATATGATTTCTTTTCTTTTTTTTCTACATTTTTATTATTCTACATAACAAATATACGTGAAATAAATTTTCAACTAATTTTCAATCTTTTATCACTTTATATTTTTTTAAGAGAGAGATTAATATAAAATTAATTTTTTTTCTTTTTATATCATACGTGACCGACGTTTGTTCTTTCAATAGAACCACGTGGGCCATCTGTGACAGGTGTTACTATATTATTTTTTTATACTTTATCTTGTTTTTTTTTTAAGTTTTCTTGCTATTGTGTGTCTCTTTTTTTCTCGTTTTTAAATATTATTTAATATAAAATTTGTGAATTATTCAACGGGACAAATAAATGTTAATAAATCATCCGTCAGTTGTTTCACTTTTTTTTATCTGTTTAAAGAAAAAAAACAGGAATAGTAATCCCAATGTTTCGATACGAAATACAATCGTAGATCGAACGTGTGAGACTTTCTAATGCATATATATAGAGAAAATAAATTTGATTCGATAAGGGCTTTACTCTGAGACTCTCGACAAGCATTGGTGACAGTTTTCAAACTCACCTAAGTTTTTCTTTTATTCTTCTTATATTTCGTTTTATCTTATTTTCAAAGTTATTGTTAGAATTTTCTATTGAAACGAATCTGTCATACGTGAAATTTGTCAACGTTATATTTTCTTATGCGTGCGAATATTTACACAATTTATATATTAAATATTAAATATCTGTATATTTTGAAATAAAACACACACATATTTACTATTAAATATTATTTTTCTGATCAATGTAATCGTTAATTAATATTTTGCTATTATTTGCCCACTCTATTTAGCTCTCAGTACCAATCGTATAAAATTAAATTAGAAATGAATTTTATGAAATACGAGCTATCAAATTCTAGCATCAAATTAATCTAGATAATTAATTAATTTTGTCCAGTCAATGTCGAATATAATTTTGTAATACGTACGTAATACAGATTAACAAATATAATAGTTAAATGGTAAGATTTAACGCGTCGTGATAATTATTTAACTGAAACGGATGGAAAATTTTGTTATACACGGTGAACGATTAAAATTATATAGGAAGGGATCGAAAGATATATTTGTATTTTTTAAATCCTAGGTATTTAATTCTTCAGCTTGTTTTTTGTGAAGAGTGAGAGAATGAGAAAAAGAGAGAAAGAGAATTTCAGTGTTCATAGAGCTTCCACTTTTCGCTACTTCTTCGATAGACATCTGGCACGGATGTCTCTCGTGTTTCTTTTCGACCTAGGGAAAGTACGTGTCGTAATGCGTTTCTTCCGGTTCGTTCGGTCGATGCTGACTCGGCGCATTTCAGCATTTTACTCACCTGTTTCATCTTTACACTGCACTCGGTTGCACTCTGCTTGCAAGAGCGATAGAGAGAAACAGATTGAGATAACTAAATTTATTGTTCTAGAATGTGAATCTTTTAAGAATGACAAAAAGAATATATTTTACATAAATATTAAATGTATAAATAATATATAAAAGAGTTAATTAATGTTTATATGAGTATAAATTAAAATATATAAATATATTATTAATTATAAATATATAATATAAACGTGTGTAAATATATAAATGTGTGGTTGCATTAAATATGTATTATATAAGTTTACGAGAATTAATATAAAATTATATTTAATGTAATTTTTCTTTATGTGTATATTAATTGTATTTTTAAGTGTTCATGCATTGGTACTTATGATTTATTTTCTATACAGCCATAATTGAAGATTTCAATTATTTTATTTGTTTATTTAATTTTATATGAACGAATCAATAAATAATTACGACGATAAAAAAAAATCATTGAAAAAAAAGTAATACTATTACATTATAGAAAACTATTGGACTTATTCTCGTATATTTATAGAATTTGAGATATTTGAACGCCAAACTAAAGATTATATTGAATAGCACGTAGTTGAATGTAAAGCAAGGAGTAAAACATAAATCTCGCTATCTGAATGAAGAAAATCGAAACACATAAACGTAAACCACATAAGGGATTGAGTAAAATGTTAAAAGAGGATTGGTTAATATAAGGATAGGACAGAGAGATAGAAAATTTAAAGCTGACCAACTTATAGTTTTTGTCCTAAGAAAATCGAAATATTCCACGATTGAGAAATAACATTTCTTAAGGGATTCTTTAACATAAATAAAGATTATTGTTACGTTCATTTCAAAGGATATCATATGTTCGTTTATTTCATTCGAGATTATTATTTGCTTATTTGTTTATTCAAACATTGACAAGAATTACCCATTGTTACATGACCAGAATCAAAATATTGAAAGATAAAGATAAAATTAATATAATACTGATTAATAAAATAATATATATAAATATAAATTAATAAATTAATAATAATAAATATGAATTGGTTATCTCTATGTATTATATATACACGAATTAGATCAATTTCACGATGATAAAATATTATTTTTATTTTTATTTTTATTTTTATTTTTCTCACATTCATTATTAGTTCACGTCATGAATATATGTAACTTCAGAAATAGTTTCATAATATGTATGTGTGTATGTTTTATGTGTGTGAGCGATAAAAGAACAAGAGAATGTTTTGATCTTTTTAGATAAAAGGATAAACAAACCGTATCATCTGATTTTTCTCTTGAAGAGGTGATCTTAGGTCAGAAATGGATACAGATCATATTTATGTGAATAAGTGTGAGAGAGAACGATGATGTAAAGAAAGAAAGATATACATGAGTGTTTGAAAGGTAACAGAAGGAAGGACAGTACTCGTTAGGATATGGTTACATACGCATCGTGATTATAAGTAAAGATCGTACTTTAGAATATTAATTAGTTTAATTGAAACATTTATTTTATAATTCATTCCTACTAATAATATATATTTTACATGTTTTTATTAAAGTGATTTTACAATTTCTATTTGATCTATTGATTCGATATAAATATTAAATAAGTTGTTAATTATTTTAATATAAAGTATATATCGATAGATATATTAATACAAATGATTAGTTACATTATCTTTTGACAATCACTATATGAAAAGAATCTTTTTTTTTAAAAGTGAATATATAAAGTTGTATGGAAAAGTGGAAAGGAGATAGATTAGGATGTTAGGTAGAGCATACGATACCATTAAAAGTATTGCCTAGTGCAGATCGTGGATATAAGTTGTGAATAAATTTTTGCAAAGAAAAAAAAAAAACGAAAACGACGACGATCTCACGAGAAGGGCGGGTGGGGGAGGGGGAGGGGGAAAAGTATACGACAGAAAAGAGGAAAACGAGAAGTTCGCGAATTGCCATCTGGAAATAGTTATATCTAGGAAAACTCGCGAAAAATATTACGTGTTTCCGTATTCGTGTCAACGATATGAAATACAACATTGGTATAGTGAGTGAGTGAACGAATAAAAAGAAGAAAAAAAGAAAATGAAATAGAAGAAGCAGAAGAAGAAAAAGAAGAAGAAGAAGAAGAAGAAATGGTAAGTTGAGAGAAATCGTCGGCAGAAAATTCGTTCGATCGATTTTGGACGTAGACTTAACGACTTCTTGGAACGGTTCGGTGATTAGAGAAAGAGAAGGGAAAACTTTTACAATTTCGGAAGTATTCTAATCGAAAAAATAAAACTAACACTTTTCAAGACATTAATTACCATTAAGGTATTCTACTTTATTGATTTTATTTCAAACGTTCGTATTATTTCTAATGATTAATTGCAATAAATGTATCACAGAAAATACAAGGAGTTAAACAAAAAATTGTTTTACTGGAGAAAAAAAATTGATATTGGTTCGTCAATAAAATTAGAATATTTTGTTATTCATTTCAAGATATAAATTTTCAGTCATGGGGGTTGTTCAAAAAGTATCGATTTTTTCAAATATCCATTAAACGAAAAAATATAATATTTTTCAATTGAGTTAAATGACACCCGTTGCATAATAAATAATTTTTTATTTGATTTTTATTTAAACAAAAAAATTGCTGAATATTATTCTATTTATTTTCTATTCAATATCATCTCATCATTATACTATTATTATTATTATTATTATTATTATTATAATTATTATCAAAGACCTATCTAAATGTAAAGCATATAGAAAGGCTTTGTTAACTTTAGTATGTTAGAATTATGTTAAAGTTCTGACAGGTAACTCTCGAGCATATTTATACGACAAGACCATAGAGAGCATCTACGATCCTTTACTGTGGCCTGTTCTTCGTCTTTCTCTTTTACACGATATCCTCGAGGTAAACCCTTAAGAAAAAGTATGGAGGACTTGTGTCAAGAGAAGGAAGTAAAAGTAGCTCGATCTCTAAGGACTTCTTTTAGGATCTTGATAAATTACTGGCTATATAACGTTTTTACGATATAAAGGATTACCAGTGTTGGCTGTTGATGATTATATTCGTTCCTTCGTTTTTTTAATTTGTTGATTTTGCTTAATGAATTCATTATGAGTTTGAATATACCGAGTAAACTCATTAATTATGATACAAAGAGCTATAATAATTTTTCTTCGGGCTGGAGAGGGGTAGGAGGGGAGGGGGGTAGGAGGGCGGATTGGAGGGAAAGTAAATTAACATTTTTTATATTATAATTTATTTTCTATTTATTTCCTTTTCGTTTTCATTCTCATTTTTTTTTTTTTTTCTTTTTTTTTTTATATTCCTTTTCTTTCCCTGACTTTTTAAATATTTCAATATAAAACTAACAAGAAGTATATATATAGCTTTTCTAAATAAGAGCTAAAAGTAATATGACAAAAAGCGTTGTGTATAGAGTTTCGTAGTCTTGCAAGTTATTCAAGAGATAGGAAAAAAGAAAAAAAAAATGAACTTTCAGTCTCTCAACGTGGTAAAATTATAAGATGGACCTTTCGTTAAAGTTATAAAGTACGTGGATAAAATGGGACTTACCTTTCCGAGAAGATAAACCGTCATGATGTAACCTAATATCACGATGCCGAGAAAAAGCCATATGACTGCTCTTGTCCATAACTTGGAAATACCAATTTTCTTACCTTCGATAATAAAGTAATGCATACCTATGATGACATTGGGAGGGGTAAAAAAAAAAAAGGGAAACAAAGATGTAATTAAATTATATTCTTAATGAAATCGTTAATTAAAATCTTATAGGAATGTATTCATTATCGATTATGTTATTTTATACGATAACTCACCCCAAAGACATACGATTATCAAACCAATCATGACGACGGTAAGTAAGGTAAATATTAGAAGATCGGATTGGACGTTTCGTCGATTACGGGGATGAGTAATCCATATTCTCAATGACTCGGGCCTGAAGGTTCCCATAAAAGTGATAACTATGCAGGTGGAACAGCACATTGGGTTCTGACCAGTTAAGCGAATCCATATTATATCCTTAACGATCGGAACGACTAATCGTTTCTAATTAATATAACGCGTCATGGGTTCGTACCAGTTGTAACGAAGCGTTTCTACGGCGTTATATTGATAGTGACACAATTCGCAATAACTTCGACAGGATTGATTCAACCATTTTTCCAAGCACGATAAGTGGACGTGGGCTAATGTTCCTTTGCACCTAGATTCAATTCAAAATAATTTTCTTAATGATTATTCATAGATATTTTATCGATTGTATTGAACAAGCACATTTTCGTTTGTATTTAATTTAAAAGTAAATGAAGAGAAACAAAAAGTAGTGATTAAAAAAATATCGTGTAAATTAATTGTTAAATATTAAATTGATCCAAAAATTTTTTGATAAAAACCACACGTACTTTTTCCTATTACTCAAATAATTCATTTCTAAAGCTTTAAAGAGTTCAATATATTTCGAGTATATATATATATATATACACTCCAGCTCGTAAAAAATAGTGGAAGTGAGATTCGACTTTGTAGGAGGTCTCTCAACGAATTTTCTCTCGGAAGAATCTTTACAACTCTGTCGCCCGAGTCTTTTATTGTCCTGGAAAGTCTTTTCGCTTCATAGGTCGGGTCGAGTACATCTTCGAAATGTACGTAATTTTTTTTCTAGACTTTTCCAAAAATGCTTAAAACACTACTACCTCCATAGAAATTTTCTGTCATACTTCTCGTGAATAGTTGAACCCTCGTGAATTCTACGGTTCTTTAGAAATTTTTCAAGTATCACCATTTCTATACATCTTTTTTAACTACTCATACATCATGTAGGCATAATAATAATAATAATAATAATAATAATAACAATAATAGTAATAATAATAATAATAATAGTAATAAAATAAAAATAAAAATATAGAATATCGATGAACAAATATTTCAATTTGATAGTCTAAATTATTATTTTCTCTCGTTTTCTTTTTCCAGTACATTCGAATAGATCGAAGATATAAAGCAAAGATGAAAAGATTGAAATTTCCAAGTCGTGTCGAAATATCGTAGTATTCTCTCTCTCTCTCTCTCTCTTTCTCTCTATCTCTCTTTCTTTCTCTATCTATCTTTCTCTACGGTTCACCTCGTAATTTCTCACGGCTTTCCGTGATACCGTTCGCGACAGGTTTTACAAATCATTCGACTGTTTACGTCTTTGCACCGTTCTCGAGTTCTTCCACTATGTTACAGACCTTTCCTCTGTCTATTTCTCTTGACTTTCTCCCCATTTTTCGTATATATATGTATATGTATATATGTGTGTGAAAAGGAAGAAAGCGAAGTAGTAGGTAGCATTTGCACTCTTTTCACTTCACGCCCCTCGACTTACATTCTCGTCAAATTTTCTTCCTACGGATTTGTAAGAGACGTTCAACCCGACTGACTCGTTTGCACGCACACGAACATTTCATTTTCAAGAAAGGTCGCGCGAGCCGACGTTTCATTTTCGGCAAAAAAGGTTCTGACGAATTCACGCTACGATACAATTTTCTCCTTCTCCCGACATTTGTTCTCTCTTTCTTATTCTTCTTTTTTTCATTCATGTCTTGTTCAAGGAATTCTCTAGAAATCGATTTTATTCGTCTCTGATAACACATTTACGTTTATCCTTACGTGTGTGTATTCCTTCTAGTCGTACAATCCCTCCTTATCTTTATTTAATTTTCGTTTGGAATTTTTATAAAAAAAAAAAAAAAGAAAAAAAAGTACAAGTTTTTATTATTCTTCGTTGGAAACACGATAAAGATTGTATATATTTTTATAGGAACGATAATGAAAATGTTAATTATTAATATACGCTAATGTATTCATTTAGTTCGAATAATTATTATTTTTTAGCTTTTCCTCTTTTAACGTAACTTTTTTTTTTTCTCTTACTCCTTGTGGGGGGAAATATATACTTTTTCTTTTCCTACATTTTTTTTTTAACATTTTATTGTAATACCTACTATACGTATATATTCAGAGTCGGTACATCGGCGCAAAACATCTATCTACGCGTTAGACATTGTCTTTCGTACCTTGTAACATATATTTTACTAAAAATACCTCTGCAAACTGGCAGATCCGCGGTGCAACCGAACAAAAAATGAGTAGGTAAGGGAAAGAAAATTTATGCGCATTACTGTGTGTAGGTTTTCACGAAAGAATGTATTCCGTTAACAAAAAGAGAAAAGTTAGATAAAGTGGAACGCGTTCATTTAAAAAACAAGGGAAAAGTAGGAGGAAAGCTACTGATTAAAAACAAAATATTTATATATATATAATAATGAGAAAGAATTTATCGAGAATCCAAGGGAAATAATTTAAAAGTTAAGTTTCAGAGAGAATATAGTATCGATTTAACGACTATGGTAATAACTAAAACGTGTTTTCCCTTCTTTTCTTCTTTGTTGTTTTTTTGTTCTCCCCAGGTATACATTTTTCAGTAGAAAATCCAGCAATTATATTTGGTGCTGTAAAATAGAATGAAAAAAAAAAAAGAAAAAAAAAAGAAGAATAAAAAAGAAAAAAAAAAGAAGTATGTTAACGGCCCAAACTGGACATGGTGCCAATCAGCGTGAAAAATAGTACACTTCGTTTATCGTCTTCTCTCTCCCACTTAGAAAAAAAATCATATTTTTGTTGATTACATTCTTGTATTTTTTTTCGGCACACCACAGAATTTTATATTTTCAAATATATATATATTCGTAGTCCTCAAATATCATGAACTTTTCTACGTTGATTGGTAAATCGGCATACGCGTTTGGAAACATTTATCCCGTTCCTAAAATTTATTTCGAATTTATCCTATCTTCTTCTACTTCTTCTCTCTCTTTTTTTCTTTTTTTTTTTAAATTTTTTTTCCTCGTTATTTTTGTTTCGGTTATGCGGAAAAAAAAGCTCGCGCGTTCATCCTAGGTTCGCCATTGTCTTGTTATATCCAGTTTTCAGATTGTTCTGGTTGGCGATGCACAGTATGCCAGGAAATTCAAATTATTCTGCCAACGTGGAACATGATATAAGCATTATTAGATGAGAAATAATACAGACAATGGAATTTTCATGTATTTGTTACTTCCACGCTAACCTTTTAGAAAAATCTTCACGCGTTGAATAATCATCATGGATTTAATTTGTTGTCTCTTTGATTTGTGTGTGTGTGTGAATAAATATATATCCATTTCTCTTATTTATCTTTCTTTTCTTCCGTATCATTTTATTTTTTTCTTTATAAAAAAAAAAAGAAAAGGGAACACCAATACTATCAGACTTATACTGCCTGCCAATTGATGTCTCGTTAACGACAATGTTTTTTATATTAGTTGAAATGAACGCGAAAAATCGTTTGCGACGTATTAACGAGAATTTTTATATCGGAGAAAATTTAATCGGAAAAATTTATTACGTCGATAGGGTAAAAAAAAAAAAAAAGAGTGTATCGCGACAAATAAATGCGATAACGTTTACAGTATCGTTATCTCTTTTGTGAAATATATAATAATAAGAAGAAAAAAAGGAAAAAAAGAAAGAAAGAAAGAAAATAAATACGAATGAATGAATATCGAAATTTTTGTTGGTAGAAAATTTGAATCTAGTAGTAAATCCAAGGTTCGTCGTAAAGGGTAACACACACACACACCTAAAGCGGCTGCGTAAAATCGATTTCGAGTTAGAACTTTAAATCGAAGTTGCCTCATTAAACGTCGTTGCGAATATGGGCTATGAATTTCGATGAACGGGACAGAATTAAAGCCGCATGTTAACGCGAGTGAGTTCGGTGCTTAAACTTTGAAGAAAATCAATCGGAACGTTTGTTGAAAGTCAACATTTCATCTATATTAATATCTATAAAGGTAATATTATATTCTCTATAATATTATTATTATTATTATTA